CACCCCATCTCTTGTAGTATGGAAACTAGGGAGAAGAAACCGTATGTTCTGGGGGACCTTGCAAAACGGCTTGGAGCGATGGTGATAGAGAACCGGCCAGTCCAGGAGGTGGCTGCAGAAATCAACCAAATGGCAGATGGAACGGTATATCAGAAGCCATTTGATCGGACAGACACCAGTCATCATTTATGGCATGTATATTGTTTAGCCAAGCACTATCCGCATCTCCATAATCTGCTCAACCGAATGGGTTCTTCGACCACTGAACATGAGCGTGGACGTATTAGAGAAGAGATGGCATTACTATTGGGTTTAAATCCTGATAGTGTGGAGAGTGATGAAATTCCAAGATTATTGTATAGGCATTGGAGGCAAAAAATAACAGTCTGAGATTGCATGTATTTATTTAAAAATGTAACTTATTATGGCATGGGGTTCCATGCCATTGTATTAATATTAAAAGACAATTCTTTGAGAGGATTTGCATTATACTAGAAGTGTTACAGCATGTTATTGGAAGTCTACAAAGTTGTTTTATTAATAAGGGGAAAGTAAAGATTGAATGGGGACTTGGGCTCCATCTAGACTCGGAGCAACTGAGCCAATATTAAAAGGATGGAAAGAAATTGGACGATGATGACAAGGAGAAGAGAGAGGTGAAGCAGTGGCAGGGGGAGGAGAAGTGATTGAGTAGACATTTCCTTGTTTAAAATAAAATTGCATGTGCCTCAATGCAGTTGAATTTTGTTATATTTATATACTATATAAAGGTTTGGAAACCTTATTTTACAAGTGGGATAATGACAATTCCCACTTTAACGAAATAGAGCTTCCACCAAGGTAGGGATATGGTGTCCAAGAAAGTGAGAGTGTGGCTGATCCTGCAAGGATCCACCTCCCCAAATTTTGAGGTGTTAAGTGAGTGCTCCAGTATCAGTTTGAAATTTCTTTGAAAGCTTCTTCTCATTTGCGAATCTTGACACCACAAATAGTGATGCGGAGCTCGCAATCCCCACTGACTCGCCCATGTGGCTGGCCAGTTGGAAGGGTTCTCATACAGGCTCATGAGGGCAGTCGGTGGGGTTTGGGAACTCTGCATGACTGCTCATGGGATCAAGATTTGTGTCATGGTGTTAGGAAGCTGTCAATCTGAGCCAGAGTTCCTTCGGCGTCTTCGTGTTCTCCATGAGCAAGTGACGCAGAAAGTAGCAGCCTTCATGGCCAACTTCCCAGTGTCTACTGTTGAGTGTGATATGTGCTACCTTTCTCAAGACTGAGGGAAGAGATCAATCGTTTTTGTAATAGAAACTTGTTTTTGTAAAGCACATCCTAGTAGCGTGATATAGATTCACAAGCAAGATTAGCAGCCTGGCAGTGGGGCTTTCGCTCTTGGTAACTTTCTTTTCTCGACTCCTTTGGATGACAAGCAGATGAAGATCACACGTCCAGGGAATGTTTTGTATCTGCTATAAATGAGATCTGTCCGGCCGATCATGTGAGTGTTTTTTTGAGTTCTTTTCTTATGAACGACCAACGCCAATGTTTCCAGCAAAATATCGCTGCGATAGAGAAGGAAAATATTTTCAGGAGAAGTTTTACAACTTTGAAAAGCTCGAATCACACGACAAAAATGCAGGTGAATCTATCTTCTTGTTCTCGATCAATGCATTTTACTGGCTTTCTAGTTCTCGAATGATTCGTGCTGTGTTTGGACAGGCAAATGAAGATCACATGTCCGGGAAATGTTTTCTATCAGAAGATGTTCGAAAGGAAAAGGGAGTTATTCAAAAGTCGTAGAGTCCTTGGGAGTGTGAACCTCATATTGTGATGAAGTCGAATAAGAGTATTCATTTCTGCATCAATTATCGTTTATTAAATGAAATAACAATTTTGGATGTGTACACTCTTCCTCACATTGCTGATCTTTTGGATCATTTAGGGAGAAGCCATTGGTTCACCAAGTTAGATCTTTCTTTTGGGTACTAGCAAGTACTAATGGCCGAAAAACATATTCCTAATACGATTTTTCGTATACCATTTGGTTTATACAAGTTCTTGGTGATGCCATTTAATTTAAATAATGCTTCAACAACTTTCCAGTGGATGATGGATAAGGTTATTTGCGATATGCTAGAGATGACTACTGACTTTATTGATGATATATTAATCCACTCAAAGGGGATATAGGAGGAACATGTTCGTGATGTTCGTAAAGTGTTGGACCAGTTATGGGAAGTTAATTTAAAGTTGAAACGGTTGAAGTGCATATTTGGGTCCAAAGGTACAACTTATTTTGGGTATTATATTTTTTATGAGAGTTTGCAAATTGATCTTAACAAATTTGTGGCTATTATAAAGTTCCCTACTCCAAAGTGTGTAAATGATGTACAGTGCTCCTTAGGCAAGGTGTAATATCTTAATCATTTTGTTGATCATCTTTCTGATTGCACTACACCATTGTGACTGTTATTAAAGTCGTTAACATCATCTTTCATTTGGTCTATAGACTATGAGTAGGTGTTTATAGATTTTAAAGAGCTATTGACGATTCCTTCGATTTTAGTGTATCCTAATTATACTCAACCTTTCATTTTGCACGTGGATGCTGTTGATATCGGTCTTGAAAGTGTGTTGATGCAAAAGAGCCTGAGTGTGCTTGGTCAGCACCATCCCATTGTATATATTAGTTATACATTACAACTAGTGGAGTTGAACTAATCCACAATAAAGGAGTGTTTAGTAGCAGTTTCAAGTTTTGAGAAATTTCATCTATATTTACATGGTTCTCGAATATTATTAGAAGGTGATCATATTGCAATTACTTTATTATTGAAATTAAAGAACTTAGTTGGTCATACTGCTCGGTAAACTTTGAAGCTTCAGATATATGATTTTGATATTGTTGGGGAGTTCTATGTTTGATGTTAATGCCCTTTTTCGAGCTCCTTTTCCTTCTTCACTCTGTTCTCATGTTTTTTACGACCTAATTGTTCCAACATTTGTGGAGTTTCTAGATGAGGATTCTGTGCTATCAACAGTTGTTGTACTTGATATTCAATGTCCACAAGGTGTAAAGTAGGATTTACCTTCTCTTAATGAGATTCATGAGGCTCAAAAGATTGAGTTGTGGATTCGAAGGCTTTACAATGGGTTTAAGAATCTTGCATCACTTGATGATAGCTTGCCATTTTAGCATTTACATTCTCAATATCACCTTGAGGATAGTTTTCTTTATTTTCTGGGGACAGATCCTGATGATAATTTATGGTTGGTGGTGCTTTCAATCTTTATTCTATGCTTTCTCCATGCCTACCATAATTTTCCTATTCTAGATGGGTATATAGAATATTACTATGTGACCAAGAAGTTGCATAGGTCTTTTTATTTGTAGTGCATGTGATCATAGGATGAGTTTTGAATATACTGTCACTATGGCTATTGGCTGGAAATGCGACGTGATGTTATTTGGTATGTGCATAATTGTGTTTAGTGCGAAGCTCGTAATATTCCCCCTTGTGATACGGAAGGATGGTTGGAGTTAATTGCAATTTCCTATCTATTTAAGTTAGTAGCGTTTGATTTTATAGAATTTTTTCCACAATCAACTATTAGTAATGGGTATGTCATTATTGCTTCTGACTACTTGACTCACTAAGTGGAAGTCAATGCTCTTGCTAGTGTATTTACAACTACTATTAGATACTTCCTTTTCAATTAAGTGGTGTTCCAGCATTCCTGTCTGGAGTAGATTCTTTCGGATAATAGTCCTGTACTTATGGTTGAGGCATTTCATATTTTGACGTCTCGGTTGGGGATATACCACACTTTCACCAACGCTTATCATCCACAGTCAAATGGTTTTGTGGAACAGCTCGTTTAGACCTTCAAAGGGATGATCGCAAAGTATATAAATTTTCAGCATTTGGATTGGGATGGTTATTTGCCATCTTTTCAGTATGTGTATATTATAGAGGTGCAAAATTCTATTGGTGCTTCACCATATAAACTCTTATATAATCATAATCTAATATTGCCAATGGAGTTGGGTTTACTTTCATGATTGCCATGGGCTACTAATGCTAAGTCGTGGGATTAATATTCGATGAGCATTTTTCCACTTATCCAAGTAAAGTCTATCGAATATTTAGGCTATGTACAAGTGGAATAACAATGATGTTACAACTCTCATCATCATCCATTTACGGAGTACAAAATGGATTTCTTGGTATTAGTCCATTTTTCCCATCTTACAGTATATGGTTTATCTAAAGGGCTCCTTGCTTAGTGAAAAGGTCTATATCATGTGTTGTGGCAAGTTGGACTGTAAGTTTATAAGGTTCAGCATGACATCTAGCAAGCCAATCCTTTAGAAATTGTGCATGTACAATGGCTAAAATACTTTGTACAAAGTGATCAAGAACAATTGACACCACTTATAGATCCATTGATGCCTCCTCCTAATGTTCTTTTAGATCTCAACCCATCCACAAAAGAACTCTAATGGTCTTTCATCATTATATAAATTAGAGTTTTTGGGCTAATGAATATACACATTTCTTGTATTCTCTTTTCGCACTTATATAGCTTCATTTAAATAATTGAAAAAAAATTATACTAATATAAATGAAAGTAACTGTTCTTCTTGACAAGTTCTAGATGCCCATCTTAGAAGCTCACCACTACCTATATTGATACCACAATGCTGTCTATAAGAGTTTCTTGGGCTTTACTAGATCCAGGTTTGCAATTGCTGACAAAAAGTTCCAACTTGGAAAAAAGAGTTATTCCATCTAAGAAAAGGAGAGAGAAATATATAATTCCTCTATGTCACTCAGATCATCAGGAGCCATCTGAATTTGCGGTCCTCTGCCCAAAATTCGCAATGCTCAATGGATGATGCGCCATTGATGAATCTCTGCCTTTAATAGTGAAAAAATTTGAAATCAACACGTGGCAATATATGGCGCGGCCGCGTAGAAGGAAAGAACCCTAAAAGGAGTTTCCTCAATATATGGAGCAGCCAGAGAGCAGACACCGCGAGGACGTGAATGCGCTGGATCCGCTCATCCTGGGCGGGATCATCCCGGACGTGGTGGACGATTTCGTGCCGTGCTGCGAGATGGCGGTCTACTACGGTAAGGATCAGGTCACAAACGGGTGCGAGCTCGCACCCTTTGCCACAAGTTCGCCCCCAAACGTGCAGATCGCCGGGAACTTCGATGATGGCTCTCTCTTCACGCTGGTAAAGCTCCCTTCCTCGCTCTTTCTCGCGATTCTTCTAGGCCTGGGTATAGTCGCATTCTTTGCTGGAAATTTTTCTAAAAGAGATCGTGCTTCTCTATTCAGGTGATGACGGATCCTGATGCTCCAAGTCCGGCTGAGCCATCACTGGGGGAATATCTTCACTGGTAAGCAGCAGCAAAGCAGCGCGGCTTTATGCCAGAATCATCACTTCCACTAAAACGAAGAGCCGTAGAAAACAATAGAAAGAAAAATCTCACGCTTTCCTTGGTAGGCTGGTGACTGATATTCCCGGAGGAACAGATCCAAGCAAAGGTAAGCCGCATTTCTTTCCTCCATGCGCGAGCGAGAAAATAAAATCTACACAAAAGAGAGTGATAGTTTTTCTCGACGAGCAACTACTATTTGAGCGCACTAATGCATTCGTTGCTTTGGTCTGTGTTCCTCGTTGACAGGGAAAGGGGTGCTGCCATATGAGAGACCAAAGCCACCAGCAGGCACGCACAGGTACACGTTTTGTTTATTCAAGCAAAGCAGGCCCATGATGGCACTCGCGCCCGTCATCCGGAGCAACTTTAGCACCAAATGCTTCGCTCAAGAGCACGGCCTGGGCCTCGCAGTCGCAGCGCTGTATTTCAAAGCACAAGGCATGGAGCCATAACAACTTGTAAGTGTCTACATGAACAGTGTAAGTTGCAAGCTTGTCTCCCAAAGTTTTCTTTTTTTACTAAGTTTTTCGTGCTCTTTTGCCCGACGAGCTACTGTGTGTGTCGATCCAGCTGGTGCTTGACGATTTACAGCGCACGCAGGAAAGCTCGAGCTTATCCGCAGTTTTGTTCCAGGAGAGGATTCAGGGAGCTCTCTTACCAATAAGTAACGAGGACGAAAAAGTGAAAGAAGTTTGGCTTTGGGTGGTAGCAGTAAAGCCGGGGGTCTCTTTTCGCAGCTCTCAGCCTCGGAGAGGAACTTGTTCCTGATCGTGTCTTGCTGCTCCAACTTGTTTCTGCGCGGAAGCTGCTGCGCAGAGATTTGATCCAGCACGCAGAATGCGACTTACATTGTACACTGACAGGATTTTGCTTTTTCGACATCAAATCGCGCGGGACGAGCTAGCTATTCTTCTGCTACTTCGTCGTATTTGCTACTACAAGAGCACGACGGATCACTGTTTGGATCACTGTTCAGAGAGGGGAAAAATGCAATTTTCCTGTTGTTTGTGCGATTTTTAAGTTTGGATAGAGCTTCCATTCTTTTGTCTCGTAGATCTTAGACCAGTTGGTAAAGCTTACACATTTTTTATAAGCGTCTGGATAGAACTGTATGTACATAAATTTATGGTCGCTGGCCAGAAAAGAACGCGCCAGCTAAAGAGAAGGGGATAGAGATTGACAAAAAGCACTCACCCCTTAAAAAAAAAAAAAAAAGGGGAGAAAAGGACTATGGCGGCTACTGCTACTACCGCTACTTTTGCCTGGCAAAACACTACTCGCTCTAACAGGAAGGACGGGAGATCCATCACCAAGTTGGCCTTTAACAAAACAAAGCCTTCTTCCTGGTGGGAGGGACTCTCCATAGCTACGCTCCACTCTAACCATGCCTGTCTAGAGAACAAACACTACTTCCTAGTGCACTGCAAGCAAAGCAAAGGATCGCTTTGCTCGGAGAGCTTTTCCACTCTCCTGCTTACTTACTACTCTATACTGAAGGAAAGGTACCGGAAAGGAAAAAAAACGGAGGAAAAAAGAGAAGACTCGACGTAGGGATGACTCCTGCTCCTCTAGCTACCTATGTAGTATTTACATAGTAGCGTAATCGTAATGCTCACCTCGGAGGAGATCCCCGCTGGTTGCGATGGGGATCTCAGACTCACCATTGTTGGAACTTTGGAACTTTTGAGAGTGGTGGTAACCAGCCAGCAGCAGCAGCAGCAGCGCTCTCTCTAGTTGTTGCTCCAGAGGATCACTCGTATCCTCGTGTCCTGTTGTTGACGTTGTTTTGTTAGTTGTATCCTCCTCGATACTAGTTGCTGGCTTTCCACAGCCCCAGTCTAGTAGTACTGTGCGTGGTCGTACTGGTAGTAGTAGTAGTAGTAGTAGTAGTAGTAGTAGTAGTGACTTTGCTAGAGTGGTTCTTCTCGGCAGCCAAGAGCAGCAGCAGCTGTTCGTTGCTTAGAAGGGACGGCGGAGGCGATGAACATCCCAGGAGAGATCCTCAAGCTCGATGCTTGGAGCGTTTGTGAGCAGATTATCAATGTCCGCCCACACGTTGCCACCACTGGCGGTGGTGGCGACGGAGCTATTCACCAGTGATCCGGCCCCCGGCGATAATAATTCTTCGCTACACACCACAGACGCGAGAGCTTTTTCTCCTCTAGAGCCCGCGAGCTCGAGGAGAGAGCCTGCGTCGGTGGTAGTGGTGGTTGTTGAAAAATTATCGGGGGTAGCCATCGCACGGTGATAGCAGCTGTCGCCATCGCCAGTAGTAGTACTCGTTGGGGAGACGCAAGGAGCGCTTGCGTAGCCGGCTCCTGTTCTTGCCGTCGCTGTTCTTAGTGATGTTGTAGCTAGCACCTCCTTGTTGACTGGAATCGCTTCCACGAGGTCCTCCTCCGCTACGTCCTTCTGAGCCTTAACTTTAGCCGCTGCTGTCGTTGGTTTGGATGCATCCAGCTTCGATGCAGTCTGCTGAGAAATCGCCTGTAGTTTCGCTTCTAGAGTCGATTGAAACGTCGTACTACTTCCTCCTCCTCCTTGATCTTGTCCACTCCACCCGGACTTACTTGCTTCTTGCTGCTGTGCACGATATATATGTTGAATCTGTGGAAAGTTGAGGCGTGCATACTCGCCTCTCAACTTGTAAGCTGCCTGGTCATACGCGTAGGCTGCGTCTTCGGCCGTGTCAAACGTTCCTAGCCAGAGCCTGGTTCGGTTCCTCGGCAGGCGGATCTCCGCCACCCACTTCCCCCAGTGCCGCTGCCTCACTCCTCTATACAGCTTCGAGGGCCCGACTCCAAGCCTGCGATCCTTGCTTACGTGCTTCATGGACTGGCCCCTCGGGCTCAGGTTCAAAGTCTCACTCCAGTATCTAAGCTGCTGCTGCTGTTGCTGATGGTTTAGTAGCTGGGAGTTTTTCCGATCAGCTGCTTGGTGGTGGTGCTGTTGTTGTTGCTGCTGCTGTTGTTGATGTGTCTGCTGTTGATGAAATAAGACGTGATTCTGTCTTTGATGCATGAGTAGCATCTGTTGTTGCTGCTGCTGACCCCATGCTCGAATCTGCTCGAGCTGTGACGCTCCTTCCTCATGGATCGCTTGCGTCATGAAAAGTGGAGCTCGAGCGATGCTCTCGGGGTACCAAGGCGGAACCTCTGGTGCTCCAGACGTGGACGTCGGTGACAAGACCATTGTTGGCCCGCTCGCTCCAACGAAATGATCGCAAGCGGCCGCCGGAAGAGGAACCTGCTGGTGTGGGACGGGCCAGACGCCAGCCCCACCCGCGATTCCAACGTTTCCGGCTTGAGCTCTCGAGGGAGACGGTGTCGTGGATCCCGCAGTGGAGGTGTCGAACACGTCGCCACTGCTCGAGGAGCTAGCTCCAACATTAAGCTGATGATGATGGTGGTGATAGAGTGGCGGCGACGGCTGTTGTTGTTGGTAACCGTGGAACCCCTCAGCAACATAGCCGGCTCCTTCTTCTTCGTACGACGAGGAACTTGACGACGAGTCGGAGCTGTCCGGAAGCTCCAATCGTGCTAGAGCTTCCACATTGTCAAAGTGCTCCAACGTTCTCGCGAGGTCCCCGTCGAACGCAAACTCCCGGTCGAATCTAGCTGCGATGGGTAACTCGGCGGTAGCTGTTGCCATGCTCGCGGAATTTCTTGCCATACACTACGCTGCCAACTGGATTTGTACGTTGGCTGATGATCTAAGGTTGGTTCTTCTGTGGCGACTGGCTTACTTGCGAAGCAAAGAAGAAGATCTTCTAAGGGAAGGGGAAAGAAGGAAGGCTTGCGAGAAATGGAAGGAAAGAAGAGCTGCTTGAGAAGTATGGAGAGAAAAGAAGATGAGCCTTGAAGATCTATGGATTTTAGTAGAAGAAACGAGGAGATCCTGGTCTGGGATGTAAGCAGGCACTCTACCAACTTGTAAGCTTGTGACTTGTACAAGGCAATGCAGCAAGAAGCGCAAGCAAATGAAGATGAGGTATATATGTGCGAGAGGATCAGTGAGAAGTCGGGTGCTTTTCCTTTTTTCTTTGCAGGATCTAAGAAACGGAGCTAAGCACAAGGGATGGAGTCCAGAGGAAAGCGGAGAAAAGAAGCTCCTCAGATGGGAGGCTACGCAGGGGCTACTAGACTAATCAAAGACGAGCAAGGAAAAAAAAAGGGATGGAGGAGCTTTGATGCATCCAGGGACAGGAAAGAGAGCCTAGAGGTCAACAGAGCTACAAGGATTTTCAATACGGAGGCTGCGAATTAGGAAGGGAGGAGGAAAAAGAAGAGAAATCTCTCTCTTGGCTGGGTCACAGATTCTCACACCAAATGCAAGGATGGAAGAATGCCATGGCAAGCATACAGACCTAAAACTCGTCGTCGACGCCGCGGGCGGTAGAATGCCTGCCAAGATCTCAGATAGGAAGCATGAAAGGGATCTGGAGATGCCAGGGAAGGAATTGGGAGTGTATTGTCAGTCGCCGCCACAGATCATTCCTCGAGCGCCGCCAAAAAATCGCTCTCTCGCCGCCTTCTCTTCCTCCTCTTCTTCTTCCGCTTCCACGAATTTCTGGCTATGGAGGAGATCGTATAAAAGCACCCCTTAACCTCGGAGGGTTTAATTGCCACGTCACCAAGTTAGTGACTAAGCCACGATTTAGGTCAGTGCGTATCAGGACACCTGTCAGGCGGGAAGAGTGACGTGCCGGTGTGGCCGCCACCACCAACCGGTGTATACCGGTGGACATACATTGCGGGCGCCGTATGTTTACTGATGTGACAAATTGGATTCTTGCGTATTGTCTGCTTGCTCACGTATAGCAATCCGCCGCGTGTCCTTTCTAGAAGTTGACTCAATCGCGACATGACGCGTGTCCGCGGGATTAGCGCGGCTTGAGCACCTGTTCCGCAAGATAAGATCCATGTCTGGGACGGGACGGGGGAGATGGTGGGACAGATGGCGCGTTCCCATTTGCGGGAGGACTTCCACAGGTACAGTTAGGGCGACTAGAAAACACACGCAATGTGGTTGGGAACTGACGCGTGGCGATCACTTTGTGTGGCTATGGTGGGAAGTTTATCTCAACGTCCATGCTATGGTTCCATTTAGTGTCGATCACGCGTTTCCATTTGCTATGGTGTTTTATATCATGTAGTTGACAAAATATGAGGCCATTAGAAGGTAAGAAGTTTGAGGCGTGTCCTTGTTTCTCTGCCACACACCCCAGGAGATGACAGCCAAATGGGGACAAAAGGCCGAGCTCTAGCGATGGCGACCCAAGAGGGTCAGGAGGAATGGAAGAAGGCTCATTGCACGATGGATGAATGATAGAGTCACAACACACACACTAATCGGGACAAACAGGAGAATTCTGGGCATAAACAAGCTAAAGTGTGTGTTTTAAAATCAATGCCGTGAGAGGGAGTATTTGTTTTTAACAATGATCGATTAAAGACTAGACGAAGAGTGGGACAAATCACATGCGTTGGAGGTATGTGTGATCGTGATCCGCCCGGAAACTTTTGCTAATCAGCGAGCACTGGAGATTGATGTGATCGACATCGTGCTGGTACTAACTTACTGTGGATGGATCACTCTCTCCAGATAAAAAATGGTGATACTATCATACAAGGAACTATCGATAAAGTCCGCCCAAGATCACTGGAGATTGATCGAGCTTGGTCTTGCGTCTCATCGCCTTCCGGATAACTAAAACGTCGTCTTTGCTGCCAGCCTCGGCATAGAGATGGGAGAGGAGTACGTACGGAGACTCGGCATCCACGCCGGCCTGGACGAAGAAGCCGGCGGCTCGGTTACCTCGCCGTACATCGCCGTGGCTCCGGCAAGCGCCCAGCAGCGCCATCCAAGCCTCGTAGTTTGGCTCGAATGGCATCGAGTTGACGAGCTCCTCGGCCTCCACGAGTCTCCCACTCCGCGCGAGGAGATCCGTGAGGCAGACATAGTGATCGTAGATGGGAGTGAGGCCATAGTCGCAGGAGATCGAGTGGAAGTAGCCCCTAGCTCGGTGGAGGAGCCCGGCGTGGCTGCAGGCCGAGAGGACGTTCACGAAAGTTATGATGTCCGGGACGAGTCCCTCGAGCTCCATGGCGAGGAAGACGTCGAGCGCGGCCTCGCCGTGGCCGTTGCGAGCGAATGCCGTGAGCATTGCGTTCCAGGAGACCGAGTCCCGGACGGGCATCTGCTGAAACACGGACCAGGCGCCGGCGGCGAGGCCGGATCGACCATACATGGTGAGCGCCGCGTTTCCCACCGCGACACTGTCCTGGAGGATCCCCGGGTGGACGATGCTGGCGATGAACGCGCTGCCTTCCTCGGCGTTCGCGATCCTGGAGCACGCATCGAAGATGGCGATGTATGTCACGGAGTCGGGGCTCACGCCATGTAAGTCCATGAGCCGGAAGACGTCCATGGCCAACTTGGTATGCCCGTTTCGGGCATAGCCCGAGATCATGGCGTTCCACGAGACAACGGCACCTTGGGCGAAGGCGTGAGAGATGGTATCTTCGAGCACGGCTCTGGCGTCGTCCACTCGACCACTCTGTGAATATGCCGCAATCATGGAGCTGGAGGAGACTGGGTCGCGGTGGTGGATTTTGTCAAAAGCTTGCCTTGCGTCTTCCAGGGAACCATTGACGGCGTGGGCTTGGATCATGACGTTGAGAGAGATTTGGTTGTGGCTGGGCATTCGTTGAAAGGCGAGCTTGACGCTTGCGAGACTGGCGTTGTGCGTAAGCGCTTGGAGAAGTGTGTTCCAGGAGACTATGTCTCTCTGGGGGCTGACGGTGAAAAGCACTTTAGCTTCCTCGAGAAGTCCCTTGGATGAAAAGAGCTGGATCATGGCGTTCCAGGTAAAGAGATCGCGGTGAGGCATGGTCTGGAAGAGAGCTTTCGCGTGATCAAAATGACCACCCGAGGCGTACGCTTGGATCATCGAGTTCCAAGACGCAACGCTTCTGTGCGGCATGATATCGAAGGCCGTCTTGGCGACTTGGAAGCCTGTACTGCTGGAGAACGCAGCGATGAAAACGTTCCAGAGAACAGAATCTCTCTCGAGCATGGAGTCGAAGAGTGACTTTACGTGAGAAACATGGCCTTTGGCAGCAAATGCTTGCATCATAATCGTTCCGGCCATGAGACTGATTTCTGGAAGATTGTCAAACACTTCCTGGCAACCGTCAAGGTTAGACATATCGGCGTACGAATTCATCAACGTTGTCCAGGAGATAAAGTCGCGAGAAGGCATTTGATCAAAAAGACCTTTAGCAACGTCAAGATGCCCAGATTGGGCATGTGCCTGAATCATAACATTCCATGCGGCAGTGTTTGGCTCAGGCATCAAGTGAAACAAATCTTTTGCTTCTTCTAGTTTTCCTTTCTGTGAGAAAAATGCAATGATCGAATTCCAGGAAACCACATCTCGACTCGGCATTCTCTCAAACGCTATCTTTGCCGACTCCAGATGCCCGTTGTGAGCATATGCACTAAGCAGAATGTTCCACGAGAACTTATTGCGTCGAGAGAGGCGATCGAACGCTGAATGGGCATGGATCGCACTTCCACAGCTGCCATACATTTGCACGACGAGATTGCCCAAGTAGAGATTGCCTTGGAGAGAGACATCGCTGAGGACCTGGTCGTGGAGACGATGTGCCTGTGGCAACGATTTGCACTGCCGGAGGAGAGAGGCGATCGATTTCTCGTCGGAAATGTGGCTGATGGATCGCGCAAACATAACCCAAACCCACGATTCATGGAGTTCTTCATCGCCTTCTCATGGAAAAACCGCAAAGAGGGTTTTTTCTGATGCTTGATGGCTGTGGCGGCGATGATCGGTGGTGGCGGTATCGGGAGAGCACGACTCCCAGCTTTCCACCGTGATGGGCGCTTTGCTTTCGATCCATCCTCTCCCCAGGTACTACTTATCTTAAGAGTAAGCACAACACGATCGATCTATCAGCGAGTGATCAAGCTTTGCCGATTCTCTTAGTTTGCTCGAGGGCGACTGACGATCCGGAACGCGCGCGTCGCGAATGTGGAAATCCCAAACAACAAGCGCATCGAGACATCGCTCCAGTACATCCACGGCATCGGCCAGACAACCGCCAGGCAAGTTCTTCTCGACGCTGGGATTCTAAACAAGAAAACGCAAGAGCTGTCCGAGAAGGAGCTCTCCAAGATCCGCGACGAAGTTGGCAAGTATATGATCGAAGGAGACCTTGTGAGCTTTCTTTCTTTCTTTTTGCCTTCTCTGGAGGTTGATCGATCAAAACTCTTGCAGCGGCGATTCAACCAGCTCAACATCCAGCGTTTGATCGATATCAAGTGCTATCGGGGGTTGCGACACCTTGCCGGATTGCCAGTCCGAGGCCAAAGAACACGAAACAATTGCCGGACTCGCAAAGGCAAGAAGAGAACCATAGCTGGCAAGAAGAAACCCACGAGATAAGTTGTGTTCAAGATGCAATCAACCGCAGCTTGCTTCCGCGTGTAGATTCGATATCAGAACATACGGTAGTGCATTCTCCGGATCCAAGCGATAAATTCTATCGCCAGCTCGCGATGCTCGAGGTCCATCGCCATGGCTCTTGCAAGCGGCCAGATAAGTCGTCCAAGTTGCGGGATCACTCGACAATGCTTTGATATCCACCGGCATAACTCCGATCAGATCCTCGGCCTCCTGGAGCTGGCCAGTTCGTCCCAAGAGATCCACCATGCAGACATAGTGATCCTCCCTGGGACAGATGTTATAGTCGGCTCGCATGGAAGCAAAGTATTCCTGTGCTCGTCCAAGCAATCCGGCATGGCTGCAAGCCGAGAGGATGCTCACAAAGGTGACGCTGCTGGGCTTGACCCCCTCGAGCTCCATGGCTTGGACGATCTCCAAAGCTCTCCTCCAGCCACCATTTTGAGCGAAAGCCGCGATCGCGATGCTCCACGACACTTCCGTCCGGTGAGGCATGCTCTGGAAGAGCTTCCACGCTCGGCCCGGCGATCCACACTTGGCGTACATGTTCATCACGCTGTTGGCAACGATCGTCTGGAGCTCCATGCCCGATTCCGCGACGCAGGAGTGGATGATCTCGCAAGTTTTGAGGCTGGCCACCATGGACCCGGCCTCGAGCACGCTGAGCAGTGTCTTGGAGTTTGGCTTGACGGCCTCGAGGTCCATCTTCTGGAAGACGTTGATCGCTGCTCGCCAGTCTAAGTTGTGGACGAACCCGGCGATGAGCGCGTTCCAGGCCGCGACGTTCATGCGGTGGTCCATTCGCTGGAAGATCTCGGTGGCTTTAGTCGTGTCCCCGGCTTGAGCGTAGGCCGAGATCATCGTCGTCCAGGTGATGGAAGTTCTGTGAGACATGGATTCGAAGAGCTCGCCTGCTTCTCTCGCCGCTCCAGCAATGGCGCAGGCCTGGAGCATCGCGTTGCAACACACGGTGGTCTTCTCCGAGTCGGGCATCGATTCGAAGAGTCGCTTGGCGTCGAGGAACCGATCGCTCTGCGCGTAGGCTAAGATCATCACCGTACAGCACACAGCGCTGTGGTATTTGAGACACTTGAAAGCTCGGATCGCAGCATCGATTCTCCCGTTTTGAGCATACGCTGTGATGATGGTGATGACCGAGGAGACTTCGCGCTTGGGGAGTTTCTGGAAGAGATCCTCCGCTTCGTGGAGGCGGCCGTTCTGGGCATACGCTTGGATCATCGCGTTCCACAAGAAAACGTTCCTCTGGGGAGCTCCGAGGAAGAATTCTTGAGCATTTTCTATCATCTCGCTGTCGGACATGGCCGCCACCATGATTGTCCACACAACAACGTCGTGCTGCGGCATTCTCTCAAACATCTCTCTCGCGAGATCAAAGCTCTTGTTCTGCGAGTAAGCGTGGACCATGGCTGTCCAGGCGATGATGTTCTTCCGCTCAAAGCGATCAAACAGTGATTTCGCATTGAAGGCATACCCGTTTTGGGCATACGCTCCGATCATAGTCGTCCACGAGACAACGTCCCTCTTAGTCATGCGATCAAACACAAGCTTCGCATTTTCAAGGTCGCCATTGAGGGAGTACGCCTGAAGCATCGCATTTTCGCAAGCTAGGCTCTTCCAAGGAAGAGACTCAAACAGGTTCTTGGCCTGCTCGATATGCCCGCCTTGGGCATACGCCGAAACCATTATAGTCCACGATACGGAATCCTGGAGTGGCATGGAATCAAAAAACTTCCTGGCTTCTTGAACATTTCCGCAAAGAATTTGGAGCTGAAGAGCGGAGTTTAGTGTCATCGAGCTGTGAGAAGGCATCCTTTCAAACAATTGCTTAGCGGGTTCTGCATGCCCGTGCTGGGCATACGCCTGGAACATCGCACTCCACGAGACAACGTTCTTATGCGGCATCAAATCAAAGCATCTCCTTGCTTTGTGAGGATCATCAAACTCGCCATAGACTGTGATCATCGCCGTCCACGAGAAAACGTCGCGCTCCGGCATCGTGGAGAAGATCTCCTCGCATTGACCTACACCGGCATTTGCTTGGAGCATTGCGTTCCACGAGACAAGATTTCTCTGGGGCATCCTCAGGAACACGCTGTAAGATTCTTGAAGATAGCCATTTTGGGCATAGCCAGCAGCCATAGCCGTCCACGAAATAAGATTTCTTTCTGGCATAGAGTCAAACAAAGATCTCGTTTTGTCAAGATGCCCAAAATTGGCATATGCTGTAAGCATAACAGACCAAGAAACGTGGCTGTGCTCTGGCATATAATGATATATTTCTTGAGCGAGATCTAAATTACTACTAGCAGAGGCTTGAATCAAAGTATTCCAGGACATGTAATCCCTTTCGGGCATCATGTAGAATAAATCATTTGCTTCTTCCAAATGCCCTCTTTGGGCATATGCTGAAAGGAGAGAATTCCAGGTGATAGTGTCGCGCTCCGGCATTCTATCAAAAAGCCCTTTCGATTCACCCACAGCATTGTTTTGGATGCACGCAGTGATGATGATGTTCCAGGAGAAGGCGTTGCGGCGCTGGATCCTCGCGAATGCCGAGAAGCAATCGCGGAGGCAGCCACAGGTACCATACATCCGGACGAGGAGATTTCCCAGGAATGTGTCGCGTTCGGAGCCCATCACCTGGAGCTCGGCGTGGATTTGCCTTCCGCGGAGGAGATCCCTCGAGCTGCTGCATTGGCGGAGAATAGAGGCGAATGTAGCGTTGTTTGCTGGGGATCCTGGCGATTCTAGCCATGGCGGAGCTTGATACCTCAGAGAATTCGTGGAGGAGTAGCGCGCGACTCTCAGGCGACTGGGTTTTGGCGAATTCAAACGAATGCCGCATACGAGCATTCAATATTTAGGGTTCTTGGCCATCGCGCGTCGCGCTAGCGAGGATGATCGTGCCGCTATCGATGGCGATGTGAAAGATTTCCATGCGGAAGGCCGGGGCGACGAATGTAAGCGCTCTCTTGATCGCTTTGGATCGCATTTCACGCTTTTCTTGCTCAGTGGAGCAGCAGCACTCTTGATCTAGAGCATTTCTTCTCGGGAGATACCCAGTATCCTGCCAGTTCTCATCGGGTGTGCTTGGCGAGGAGGAGGAGCTCCTCGATTTCATGGAGCTCCAATTCGAGAGCTCCTTGCCGGGAATCCAGCCAAGGTTTCAGGTACTGCGACGACGGGCAGCTCGTGAGGGTAGAAAAGATTCTAGCTGCATTGAAGGTTTGCAGCAACTCCAAGGATCTCAAGCAGGGCAGGATCATTCACGCCGATGCCACTAGCAGTGGCGATATCTCCGACTTCTACGTTGCAAACAGCCTCATCAACATGTATGCGAAGTGTGGAAGCATGGCCGACGCTCGCAAGGTCTTTGACGCCATGAAAGCTCGCACCGCAGCTTCGTGGACCGCCTTGATGTTTGGCTATGCCGAGAACGGGCATCCGGAGCTAGCTCTGGAGCTTTTCCAGCGGATGATACAGCTCGACTACGCTCCAGATGCCAGGAGTTTGGTTGCTGCTGTCCAGGCGTGCATCAAAATGGCCGAGGCTGAAGATGGCAAGAGAGTTGGAGGTAAGAGCTTGAAGCTCCAAGCACTGGAGAAGGGAATGGCGATTCACTATGAAGCTGCGAAGTTGGGTGGGATGGACACGGATATCTTCGTCGGGAACACGCTCGTCAACTTATATGCCAAGTGTGGGAGCATGGTGGAAGCTCGCAGGATCTTTGACAGGATTAAGTTCCACAATGTGGTGTCTTGGACGTCGCTGCTCATGGGATACGCCGAGAATGGGGAAGGGGAGCTGGTTCTAGCGCTCTTCTCGTCGATTCAAGAAGAACGAGGGCCCTGCGCACCGAATGCTCGAACTTACGTCGCTGCTCTGAAAGCTTGCACGAATCTAGCCGAGGCCGAAGAGGGACAGCAGGTTGATGGAAGGATTGTCAAGATGAGGAGCCTGGAAAAGGGTCTGGCATTGCACTCTCGAGCTGCAAAGCTCGGTTTCGTGGAGAACATGTACCTGGCCAGCACTCTGGTGGACATGTATGCCAGATGTGGGAGCTTGCTCGATGCTCGAGAGGCGTTTGAGAGGATGCCAAATCGAGACGTGGTGTCTTGGAACGTTCTCATATTGCGGTACGTAGACAGTGGTGACGGAGAGCAGGCTTTGGAGTCGTTCGCTCGGATGAGCGGTCGAGCAGACTCGCTCAGCTGCGTTGCTGCCTTGAAAGCTTGCACAAACTTGGCTTATAGAGAAGAGAACAGAGAACTGGATGGCAAGATGGTGAAGGTGAAAAGCCTGGAGAGGGGCATGGCAGTCTACTCGCTAGCAAGACGAAAAGGCTTCCATACGGACATCTTCGTAGCCAACACTACCATCGACATGTATGGGAAATGCGGGGTCACAGCTGACGCGCGCAAGGTGTTCGACAGGATGCCGCTCCGGACTCTGGTTTCCTACAACGCTCTGATGCTGGGATACGCAGAAAATCAGGAAGGGAAGCTCGGGTTAGATCTGCTGGCAGAAATGGATTCAGACAGATCACTCTTGGAAGAACCAGATGGCCGGACTTTCGCTGCTGCTCTAAAGTCTTGCGGGAGTGAGGCATCGCTGCAAGCTGGAAAATATGTCCACGCTCGTGTCTGCAGCTCCAGCCTTGAGACGGATGCGGTTCTAGTTACATGCTTGCTTCACGCCTACGGAAAGTGTGGGAGTTTGGTCGACGCTCATCTGGTTTTTGACTCGGTTTCTGGGAGAGTTTTGGAAACTTGGACAGCGCTTATGGCAGGATACAGTCAGCTAGGAGACACGGAACAGGTATTCGATCTCTTTTATATGATGCAAGACGAAGGCTTGCAGCCAGACGGAATAACTTTCGTCTGTCTTCTTACAGTTTGCAGCCATGGCGGCCTCGTGGAGACGGGAAAAAAGCTTTTCCGCGCAATGATATCGAAATACAGGATTAAACCTTTCATCGAGCACTACCACTGCATGGTGGATATCCTGGGACGAGCCAACGAATTGGATGCCGCTCTAGCATTGGTGGACGAGATGCCTTTTAAGCCGAGTGCCGTGACATGGATGACGGTCCTAGGTGCCTGCGTGAAGTGGAAAAATGTGGCGGTCGGGAGGATCGCATTCGAGGCCCTGCTGGAAATCGACGAGAAGGATGCTGCGAGCTACATGCTTATGGCGGCCCTTTACCGCAGCACAGGAATGTGGAAAGAGCAGTCTGTGGTGGAAGAGATGAGAATCGCAGCACAGGCCTGGGCCAAGACGGGGCGTAGTTGGACGGATCAAGCTGGAATGGTTCATAAGTTCGTGCCAGATTGAAGCGAAGCAGGAAAAGACCTTGTAAACCTCTAAACGCATGCTCAACGGCGACAGAGGTAAATCTCAGTTTGTTTCCTTATATCGACCTCTTTGACTAAAAGCTTTTTTTTTTGCAGAGCATGCATTTGAGCAATGAATTGATTTGTTACCGCCTCCCTGATGGTTGGAGCTCCAGAGACATTGCAAAGAGAGTGCTAGGTTCTCCAGAACCCAGCTGCCAGTTGCCAGGTAGAACCAGGCTACCAGCTGCCAATTCTGGAGAACCCTTTCATCCTCGAATAACATTTTTCCATGTGTTTGTTAATGGTTTCGCCACAGCCTGTTAAGAGGCAGCTCCCGGGTAGGGCAAGCACATTCCCACCCAGAACGGGTGAGCCAAGCATTAGCCCGGCGAGCACGTTCTGGAGGGAACGAGCGAGGTCGTGCCTGGGAACAGCCTTAACAGGTTGTGGCGAGACTGTTAACAGACATGTGGAAAAATGTTATTCGAGGATAGTAGGGTTCTCCAGAATTGGTAGCTTGGTTCTTTAGAACTTGGCTGTTGGTAGCTAGGTTCTGGAGAACCTGGCAGTTGTCAGCCACGTTCTCGTAGAGAAACTGACTCGATCTGACGGTTGCCAATGGCTGGATCAAATTAACGGGAGAGCCATAACCCGTTAAGGTAATGCGGGAGTGCTATATTATAATTAGATGATTTTTAAGTAGTTTAACATGAGTCTCCATCATCACAATTTAATGTCTTGTTCTCCAGAACCAAACCATTCCCTTCCTAGTATATGTCCAAAGAGTTGACAATTCTTGGAAGTACATAATGGAAGTTTCTCCAATTCCAATTGCAATATATGCTCTTTGTTATTTGACTGTATGTATTCACTAAAGGCCAATCTGTAAAACCCAGTTTCCAGATGAAATGGTTTTAGAGCTAAGCACATTACTGCATTGCATAAGTAAATTTCCTAGATTGGTAACTTGAAAAATACAAGAATCCCCTTAACTAGTGAATCTATTTAATATTTGTCTAGTGAAAGGTGCAATGGAAATGCATAATGTACTTCTACCATTTTTACTAGTTGCAGAGATAATTATTTTGATTATATAAAACAAAATTGCAATCTATTTGTATAAGAAGCCTGTATTATTGGAAACCAATGCTTCATTAGACAATGTTGTTGGAGCTGGAAAAATTGGATTTTCTGCAAATTACAAGACTTTACAACATCACCTCCTTTTGGAAGGATAAAAGGCAATTAGAACTTTCTAGTTAATGAGCCAAGATCTGAAAGAATATCAGAAAAAGGCATTAGTAGATTTGTAAGTGGTGTAACTTGTTTTTGATCCTTTTATATAAAGTGCTTAAGCTATTATATATATACAATTTCTAGAGGATTGGCTTATTGAATGTCATATCAAATCTTGGTGCAATCCAACTTGGTGCAATAATTAATACCCTTCCACTAAATAAAATGCCTCTTAAACAAACTATATATTATAAAATTGGGAAAGCAAACCAATACCAAATGTAGCATATGTGGTTTTTACCCTTTATCCTATGGTGATTTACCATAGGATAACACCACGAAGCAGAACATAAACCCTCTTTGTGCCACATGACAGATGCTACATATCACATGCCACGTGTCCAAAGGAACGTGGTGTGGAACCCGAGGTTCAGGGCCTTGGGCCATTGAACGAAGGAACGATGCCAAACTCCCAAGCTTGGAGCCAAGGAGTGACGGAACCAAACCATGGAGCAACTCCCGAGCATACGGCCCAAGGAGCGAAGGGATAGGAGCCCGGAGCAA